TGCCCAGTCAAATGTTTCATCCCACCATGTCTCCACTAGGTCAACCAGGTCGACTTTACTACTTGCAAGCAGGAGAGCAAGCTCTTCCAGCTTGTTCCCCATGCTTCTTGCATTACTGCAGAGACACCTTAATCCCCCCAAGGGAGCCCTGGGCACCCCGCCTTCCTGACAGACAACTGGTCCCTTGGTATATTACCTGAGCTCTTACCTGGGCAGGTCCTACTTAGGGATCTAGCTTCCATATGTGTCTTATTTTAGGCAGTCCAGTCCTTTTTTTTGGATCTTGGTTTTAACTCAGCTAAAAATCAAAAGAGGAGTCAGTAACTTCACTGTTGCATTCATGCAGGTTTTATCTAATGGCTTATGCTTAATACTATTTTAAATATTGCAGAGGTGTAGTATCTTTCACACCTTTACAAGGTAAACAGAGTGAGTGCAGGAGGATTAATTTCTTCTCTGGCAGGTGCCATTTTTTACTTTCTTAAGACTAGTTTCATAATTTGGGGGGAAAGCTGTGTAAATACAAGCTCAAGCTCTCAGGCTGTTGTGGAATGCAAGAAAAATTGGAGACATCCTGTCATCTTGGGATTCGCACATGGCAATGTTTGCATTTTATTTTTACATTTGTTATTTATACCTAAAAAAAAATCTACATTGTTTGGTAATGAGGAAAACAAGTCATGTTTTCTGTTGTGTTCTTTTCATCCTTGCTAAAATAAAAATGGCTGCAGACATTTCGCTTGTTCTTTCCAGATGCAGTTTTATCCACTTCTAGGCTGAAATTTTCCATGCTTGGCTTTGCTTGAAGGTGAGTCTTGCAAAAAGATAGGGTGGATGCAAATTTAAGTATTTCCCAATCCTAACTTTAATGGGTACTTTCTAGAAGAGAGATGCTATAGACTAATTCACCAGGCAGTTTACAGAGCCTGCTCTAAAAATTAAAAGTTGTGCTTTATAAAGCAGAAATTGAGACTGTGTTAACTTGAATAGGTTTGGAAGCATCTGGAAATATGCACATTTCCCCTCTAAAATAAGAACCATACATGTATATCCTCACAAGCTTGACTGTTATGCAGCAGAGTAAGCAATCATGAAGTTTACACCACTGTTTTAGTTGCAACACCCCAGGCATCTCAACAGTATACAGCACCAGGAAAAGGATTTTCTGAAAGTCTTAGCCCCACTGTTGTCTTCCGTGACACCAGTCCACTCATGATACTGCTTGCTTATGAAAAGGGATGTTCTTGGAGAACATATGTTCAGGTATGAACAATAAAATGTCCATTGATACTCAATTCATTTTCAAAAATGATTGTTTGCACCAGATCTACTATATTGAGTGTAGAAAGGCAAAGACTTCTAATCACTGTTCAGGCGAATTTGGGAAACAAAGAATGGGAGATGTCTGTGTTCTTGTGTACGCATGGGTCTGCTTGTATCCACACAAGCAGGATGTGGAAGGCAGGGAAGCTGGGAAAGGCGTATGCAGAGGAATGGGCCAGGTAAGAACATGGGAAAACTGATAACTGTGCTCTGACTGCCTTGTGATGCTCGTGACTGTATTCAAAAAAAAAAAAAGGGAGGGGGGGAGCAAATAGGACCTGGGCAGAAGTGAATCTAGCATTTTACAAAGAGGGGTGCGGGAGCAGTGACCAGCACTACATGGGTTGGTGCTCCACCCAATGCGGGGCAGACCATGCTGTGGGGTCAGCAATCAGGAACTTTTTTCTTATCTGCTTTAGGGACTTAAGAATTACCTCTCTTCCCCTCCTGTTCAGAGGCACTTTCCTTCCCTCCACCAACCTGCCACTGTGTCCCTGCTGTCCTGAGGACAAGGGAAGCTCCAGAGCTGCTCCAGCTAGGCTGTGTGGGAGCTGGCTGAGCCTGGAACAGCCGTAGTGAACAGGTAGGTTCCCCCTCCCAGTGCCTGCTCCCAGGCCTGCAAGGAGTACCTGGAGGGAGTAGACAGGGATGGGGACAGGAGATCCCATCTGCTGCTGTGTTCCCACCCTCCCAAAAGTGAGGGAGGCGGGGATGTGCCCTAAGCACAAAGGGGAAGGGGCAGATCACGGAACTCTTACTTTATTTGAGGACTTAAAAATGTCCCCAGCTGCTGCTCCTGCCCCAGAGTTAGAGAGGGGGGTTGTGGTCACGCAACTAGGGCCCTTCTGGATCTGTCCTTGATCCTGGGTAATAGCCTTGTTAGTGTTCTTTTGTAGCATTCTCTGCATGTTGTTTTTAATAATTATGCAAACATGCTTGGACAATCTCAGATTAACAACGGTGTCTATGAATCTGTGAAACTTAAGGGCTGGAAGGGACCTTGCAGATCATCAAGTCCAGCCCCCTGCCCCAGGTGCAGGAAGTCAGCTAGAGTCAAAGGATCCCAGCAAGATAAACATCCAAACGTTTCTTAAATGAGTCTAGAGTAGGTGCCTGCACCACTTCTGGAGGGAGTCTATTCCAGGCCTCGGGGGCTCGGACAGTAAAGAAGTTTTTCCTTATGTCCAGCCTGAAGTGGTCATGGAGGAGTTTATAACCATTAGTCCTTGTTATCCCTTGGGGCGCTCTGGTGAATAGGTGTTCCCCCAGATCCTGATGCACACCCCTAATATAGGCAGCCACCAGGTCACCCCTGAGCCTGCACTGTTCCAGGCTAAAGAGCCCCATGGCTCTCAGCCTCTCATCATAAGGCCTGTTCTCCTGCCCTCTGATCACGCACGTGGCTCTCTGGACTCTCTCAAGCTTCTGCACATCCCTTGTGAATTGTGGATCCCAGAACTGGATGCAGTACGCCAGCTGCGGCCTCACCAAGGCCGAGTACAGCGGGAGGATGACATCCTGAGGTTTACTTGAGAAGCATCTATGGATGCAAGCCAAAGTTTTGTTTGCTTTATCAGCTGCGACATCACATTGGTGGCTCATGTTCATCTTGTGGTCAGTCATGATCCCCAAGTCTCTTTCAGCTGTGGTGCTAGCGAGAGTAGCACTGCTGAGTCTATAAGTGTGCTGCGGGTCACACGCGTCACCCCCACCCCCCACCGGTGAAGTATCTTGCATTTTTCTGATTGAACATCATCAGGTTTATATCTGCCCACTTGCTAAGCTTATCCAAGTGGGTCTGGATCACTAGTTTAGTGTCATCGGTGAGCTTTGCCAGTGCGCTTCTGACACCAATGTCCACATCATTGATAAAGATGTTAAAGAGTACTGGTCCAAGGACAGAGCCTTGGGGACACCACTGGTCACGGAGCGCCATAATGATTTGCTTCCATCAACTACTACTCTGGGTCCGACCTTGGAGCCAATTTCCAACTGTTAAATTAGAATCCTTCTGTAATTTGAGAGTAACAGTTGCTCTCAGTCTGAGAGTAGGTACATCTCTGTGATTTGGGGTAAAATGCGTGATAGATGTCCCAATCAATGCCAGCACAATACTGTTTTAGGTTAACCTTAAAAAATGTCCGAAGATAGTAAAGTAGGAAACGGAGCAAACAAATAATTCGAGCTCCTCTTCTGACATCATAAAGGAATGAAAATATTGAATGAATATGTGGACATCAGTTTAATCTAGTCTGAGATCACAAACTGTGTTATGCACTAATTGTAACAGTAGTTTGGTTTTTTTTAAGGATTTGCTACAGGTTGGATTTGATGTTGTTTGGGTCTTTGTATTGTGCATTTCCATACCTTAATGTGTGCATTTAAGGTTAAACTTTAGTCTGAATTTCCTTGATTTACATATAGTTAGGGAATTATTGCAACATCCCAATAATGTGTCTTATTATCTTACATAGTAGATATGCACTTTTTAGTATTAATGATCCCAGATAAAAATCACACAATTGTGAAATTAATCAACGTGTAACTACTTTTACCTACATGACTCCAACTGTTGTAATATTCATTAGTGCCAAGTTGAAGACAATTGCACGCATATTGGCTTATAACGATCATTCATACATGTCCTATTTCTCTGCAAGAGAGTTTGCAGATAATTTTTAAGTATACTTTTTGTACAGAAGAAACTATGACGAAATGTTTTAACTTGTGTTTGAATAAATACCTGCAATTATTAATATTGTTGCAGTTTATGGAAACTGGTGATTGGACTGGAGATGATGCCAGTGATATGTTTTAGTTTATAATCCCTCTCTCTGTTTACTTCATTATTTGACAACTGATGGATTCCAAGCAATGAGTGGCTTCAAGACTGCAGAAAAAAATACAGCACAAAGGTCATGTGGT